AGAGCTTCTAGTGGTGATGGTTGCAGAACCTTATGAATATACTAAAACCCACCCATTATATATCTAAAATGGTAAATTTTATGTTATTTGAGTAATACCTCAATTAAAAAATCCATCCCAAAGTGACTCTGTGATCTTTGCAAGTTGTTTAGCTTCTCTAAGCCTCAGATTATTCATCCTAAACCCAGCTTGTTTTCTTACTATGGTAGAGAAGGGAGAATGGATAATGGCGACAATTACCGTCTTGGCTCTAAGTGACCTGGAAGGTCTGGACCAAGCCTACCTCTCTGATGACTCTCGGCATCATAACCCCCTGCTCTGTAGTCTGTGCACGAACCTTCTGAGAGTTCCTCTAGTGCGACCTGCTCCCTCTGCCCAGGACGCCCCCTCACCTGGTGAACTCCTGTTCAGCCTTCAGGTCTCAGGGCAAGCAGGGCTTTCTTAGGGAAGGCTTCCTTGACCCCTAAAAGAAGTTAATTCCCTTTAAAAATGTATCTTCACAGAGTCCCAGTCCTTCACTTCAGAGCACTTATTTTAGTTTTTGGCTATATTTTTATTACACTATTATTTGATTAAATCTTTCTACTCTGCTATATATAAGCCCCATGAAGGCAGGGGCTCTGTGCTTTGGCTTACCATGATATCCTTTGAATAGAAGGGTGTGAGCTTTCCATCAGTGTTCATGGAATGAATGAATGAATCAGAAACCTGGACACAGACAGAGATGCAGAGGCCCTTTTGCAAGTTCTTTCAGCTGTTCCTTATCAGACTTGGAATCTATACCTCATCACTTCTAGTTCAAAGTATCAGCAGATCCATATTTTTAAAATATTTCAAAGTATCAAAAATGTTGACCTTGATCATACCTCCACATGCCACCTGGCTGCACATTAGAGTGGCATCTTAATGCACCAGAAAACCCATGCACTGAGGCACTAATATGATAGGAAATGTAGGAGGCAATCTTCAACTTTAGAAAGGAAAATCATCCTACGAAAACCTCATTGACTGTGTTAAAATTACAGTCCACGTGCCAGAAAACATATGGCATGAACTTTAGAATGAAACAGGCATTAATTCAACCTCGAGGCCCCAACAATAGCTGTGTGGCATTGGACAAATTACTTTCCCATTTTGAGTCTCCATTTTCCTTAAGAGAAACTGGGAATAATAACTATCTACTTTCTAAGGTTGTTGTGAAGTTTAAGTGCAATAATGTGAGGAAGTGACTTTGCACCATGCTTGATACAACATAACAGCTTAATTCATGTTAACCCTTATTATCATGAGAATATAAGTTACCTGGGAGCAGCAACAATGTTTGTTCTCTGTTGCATCCCCAAGACCTTGAATCATGTCTGGCACATAGAAGCCACTTGATACTTGAACAAATGCTTGGCAGTCTTGGCGGGTGGGCAGAAAGAAGGATGGGAAAGACTTTTAAAATAACATGATTTTTTTTTAAAAGAAGGTCACATGGTCTTATAGCACCAAATTCTGTTTTATATTTAGGAAATTGAGAGTCTTTTTTCTAAAACATAATGGGGAGTAGGATGCAGAATTTGCATGAATTTTTCAGATAAAATTGGAGGCTTCCAATAGATTTCACGCTGGAGGAAGCTGCTTGAGCCACGTCTTAGAGCTTGGGGAGGAGACAACATTGCTCTCCTCCCTCACTAGAGGCAGTGAGATGAGCAGCTCTGGGGAGCATATCAGTCTTGTATCTCTTAGCGTGGAATGCTCAGGTCTTTACGTTTTAGGCTCATGTCGAAGCCAATTCACACGTATCTGGCTCCCTGTGACAGTTATCTTCCATGCTGGGGGAAAATGTGACCCTCCAAAATGTGAGACTTGAGGGCCTGGGTCCCCCGTGCCTGGCATCTGCTCAGAAACCAAAAAGGAACTGTTGATCCTCCAGGTATCTCATTGGGCCAGCTTGCCTAGCCCCCCAGGCCCAGTTTGAGGGGAGCGGAGGAAGAGGACACAGAGGTCATCGTGTCTGTGTGTGGGCCCTGGGAAGGCAGTGCAGGGGAAACTTCCAGGACGTGCCTATCTACCCAGGCTTGGACCTAGGCTGGAGGGAGGGCACAGTTCGTGTGTGTGCACTCACACTGTATGTCACCAGGGGGCACTGTGGCCTCATCTGTGACTGAAAATGATGAATGCAGCTGCCAATGACATTTAATACTTAATGAGCTCTTATTATGTGCCCGCTCATTTATCCCCAACAACAACCTAATGAGTTCAGGACTCTTATTATACCCTTTTTATAGATAAGGAAGCAGAGCCCTAAAGAAGTTAAGTAACTTGCCCAGATGATGCAGCAGTGGAATCACAATGGGAATCTAAGCAGTCTGGCTCCAGAGCATGCCTTCATTGACTCAACAGGTGTTAACTGAGCATCTTCTGTATACGAAGCTCTCTGTTATAATAAAATAAAAATGATAAATCACCAACACTTAGTAAATGCCCACTAGCTTCCAGCCAAAAAAACTGTGTATACAATAATAGTAAATATGTATATAGGAAAGATATGTATAGGAAAAATGATGATAGGAATAATGATAAATTTAAACTAGCCAGATGTCACATATGCATTATCTCATGGAATCTTTACAGAAACCCTGTGAAGAATGAACCTTAGTGCCCCCATTTCACAGAGAAAGAAACTGGGGTTAAGAGAGCTTAAGTAAGTTTCCACGGTGTAGAGTGGAGATTGGAAGTCCTGGGACTTGAGCCAGGTCCCATCCTTTTCCAAAGCCGCCATGCGCTTAACCACTATCGGCTCAAAAGTCAACTTCTCTTTCCTTTCCTTCATGAACATTTACTTTTCAAACTATATAAGTGGTTGGCACTCAACCTGAGCCTCCCGTCTCGTTCTGCGCTGCAGGGGGTGAAGGCGTTTATTGTCCTTACCCCCTAGTTCCCATCCCAGGACTGAGACCATACCAAGGAGCAGCAGCACGTGAAGTCAGGGACAACCCCATAAAGCATCTGAGGAAGGTGACAAGAGCTAATGGATGGGGCTGGTCCTCCTGAGCAGTTCAAGGTGCTCTCCTCCCCAAATCTCATAGGATAACTGAATGAAGCTTGGGTAGCCAACAGCACTAGACTTTTCCTCTGGAGAAAAAGCAATATTTAGCACAGGCCGCTAACAGGAGGGGCCTTTGGTTGTCACTATTGCCTTTAACGGCTGCACACCTTCAAGGCACCAGTTCTGGGAGGATAGATGCCCCTAGGAGATGCTGCTGCTAATGTGCACAGAGGCTTAGCATGTGACTTCTTCTTGTCCTTATTACAGTCTTTGGACGCAGGCATGGACACTCCCATTTTAATGAAGGAAACCTGATCAGTGTCACACAGCTGGAAAGCAGCACAGCTGGGTCCCAAGACCATGGCTCCTGGCCTGGCCTCCAGGGGCCACGAAGGGCTCCCCTGCATGGGAGGCTGACACTGGCTTTGGGGAGTGAGCCCAAACCTCTGTCACTTCTTCTTTCCCTCATCCCTGCTGGAGCTCTGCTCAGGGTGACCCTGGCACCCTTCTTGGAAGTCCCCAGTCCCTTACAGGCTGGGCCTCTCTTCCGTTCACTTCTCTGCTGGTCTGACTTCCACACCTTCTGTACTGGTCTCTCCTTGTGTAACCAGGTCAGCCCACCTCTGGGGTTCTTTAGGCAGCCAACAGCATCTAAACAGAATTTCATGTGCACTGTTGTTTTGTTGTCCTTGTTTTGTTTTGTTTGTTTTATGGTTTCTTTATATTTATGGTAAAAGACATTGATTTTCTATAAAGTGATAGAATATTTCCTGTTTGCTATAAATTTACATAATAATAAAAAGTGGTGGGATTTGAAGCAATGATTTTAAGCTGCTATGGGCCTGAATGAGTTGGGGAAACACTGTGCGCAATCATGCAGAACAGCACCTTAGGGAGCTCAGGACGGGGCACAGGAGAGATGATCTCCAGTGGGGTTTGTCCTAGTCACCTGGGTCCCTGGGCCCCTGCCCACCTGCTTGGCTCTCCCCACCTATCACTCCTGGTGCTGCCAAGCTCCTGGGTGTTGTCCCCAGGTCTCCCAGGGAGAAGCTGATGAACTCTCTCTTAAAATGCTCACTTTCCCAGAGATCCTGGGAGATCAGTCACGAGAGTCAGCTTGGGTTTTCCCCCACTGAGGTTCATAATGTAAAGTCCATGCTAACAGGTAGCAGGGTGATGGATAAGTGACATGTTCACCACTGTTTCAGGTGTGAAGATGTCTGGTTAATTGGGGATGATTTTGAGATCATACAATACTGTCACACAAAGTGGAATATCCAGGCCAGAAGACATATTTTATTACCATTTTATCATGGTCATACCACGATACGAGAGCTTTTGAATTTCTTTTTGTTCAGTTTTTTTCTTGTTGTGTGGACAGGAGTGACAACTTCCAAGCTCCTTACAAGCCGGATCAGAATCCAGGAATCCATATCTTTTATTTCTTTCCTTTAGATCACTAACTTGAACACAAATTAATGTTTGCAATGGAAGTTAACTTTGTAAAATACTGTAATCTTTTTAGTAAATAAATCAGTGAGCAAGACAACAATATATTTTCAATGTGAAAACTACAGTTTATAAACACTTCCTTTCAAAAAGAAAACACAAATATTAAGTAATTGGTGAGCCCATCCCTCGTCCCACTTGTCCCCGCCCGTGTGGTTGGGTGACGAGGGGCAGGGAAGTGCACTGTTTCCTGAGCGTTGTGGAAAGTTGAAGGACTATCCATGATTTTCTGCTTGCTTTCAATGGATGCATTTTCCTATAACAACATTTCTATGACTGGCTTTTGATACTGTAATGATATTCCAATATCTTGGCAAGTTTTTTGGGCTGGCCTGAATTGTTTATCAATTCAGCGAACAGCCAACTCTGTAAGATTTCAGAGTTTCTATTGGTTGAAAGAGGCGTATCCTAGTACAAAGATTTTGCCTTTACTTTTCTGTTTTAAATTTTTTTGCAGGCTTTTAAAACAATCCCAGTTTCAGGACTTCGGTATGGATGTTGGGATTGACAAAAAATCAGGTAAATGATGGATTGGTGTGTTGTTTTTTTAAAAAAGATTTTATTTTTCCTTCTTCTCCCCAAAGCCCACCAATACATAGTTGTATATTTTTTAGTTGTGGGTCATTTTTGTTGTGGTGTGTGGGACGCCGCTGTAGCATGGCTTGATGAGCAGTGCTGTGTCCACGCCCAGGATCTGGACCCTGGGTTACCGAAGCAGAGCGCAAGAACTTAACCACTCAGCCACAGGGCCGGCCCCAGATTAGTGTGTTTATAAAAATGCCTGCCACATTCACTATGAAAATGAAATGATCAGTATTCATTTAACAGAGGGTAAACAGATCTTTTGGTCAAAAGTAAGTTATTTACCTGTGTGCTCTTATCAGAGATGGTTTGTGAAGTTTCATGACTTAACCAGGCAATTATAATTTTTTCTTATTTTTAATCCTATGAATCATTATGCTGAACAAAATGTTGATTATAATTTCATTGGATTATTATTTTGACATTTTATCAGGAATTATAGATTTTTACTAATAATATGTTTAACATCGTATTTAATTTTGTTTCTTCCTCTCCTAGATAAAGCCTCTAATATAGCAAGGTAAGATTTTAGGATTTAGTTTTCTTTGTAATATTTTCTTAATACTGGTATTTGATGTGGGTTTTAATTCAATTGGGAGTAAATTCAGTGACTTCTGATGTCCAACTGACCATTTTACACTTGAAAATTTTACTCTTCCCAGGTTGGAGTCTAAATGACAATGTAGAGGGAGTTGCCATCTATTGAGACAAGAGAGCAGGAGGAGGAACAGATCACGGGAGTAGGGACAATAGGATGAGTTTAATTTTGCACAGAAATGTTTGGGAAGCATGGGATGGTATGAGTCTGAAGTTTGGACGTTGACATGACCTGGTTCTTGGTGAAATATAAAGATGATAAGACACTATTGGAGCCTATCAAGAAGCTTACGGCTTAGAGAAGAACCGAGATATTGCCAGGAAGAGTGGGTGTCACAACCATGGGTTATGAGTCTGAAGCAGAGGGAGCCACTCATGCCAGTGGAGAACGAGTGGAAAGGAACCTGATGCAAAATAGGAATAAGACATTCTGTACAGGCTTCACAGACAGTGATGATCAAGCGGTGCTGTCTGTTGAGAGTCACAGTGGCTACCTGGCACTTAGTAGGCTCTCAACTGCTGGCGTTTGTCACCGTGAATGAGGTGGAGGTGATAGTGAGAAGAGTGAGCAGGGTATCAGAGCGCTCATGTTGGCAAATAGAAGATAAGTTTGCGCTCTGTGGTCAATTGAGAGAATTAAATGCCTCTGAGAGGAGTCTGGAATTGTGGGCTGTGTTCTGGAGCTTCATATGCGTTCTCCACCTATAATTAGGTGCTTTATGTGTGCTGTTTCCCTGTAACAGTGATCGGTAACACTCTCATCTTGGGGCTGAGGAAGCTGGTCTTACAGGGATTGTGAGTTATCCAGGTCCTCTAGCAACTAATGGTAAGGCTGAGATTGTACTCAAGTGTGTTTGATTCCGATGACCTTCTCCTCAAGAGCCTCCCACCGTGGTTCTCATGAAAGGCAATCTGCTGGGCAGAAAGGCATCAGAGGCCTTTGAGTAGCCAGTCAACTGACATTTAGAAGGATCGCTCTGGGTGATAGTAAAGGATGGGTGGAAGTGGGGAAAACCTGGAAGAAGTCAGGTGTTTTCTGTTTTTGTTTTTTAAAGCAATTGCACTGATCTATTTATTTTATTTGATAATTGGAGGACAGAATATAAATACATAGGATGCTTTATTTTTCTCGTTTCTCCTCTAGTGTCGAGAAGGCTATTTGAACTATTCACATTTTCTAAGAATATTGCTTGATGATGGGATGTTAGGTGAAGACATTTTATTCTGTTTTCTCATCTTTGAAAAAAGATTAAATAGGAATCTCATTGAAATAAGGCTCTTATTTCCATATTTGTTTCCTACATTTAAAATGCTGCTAACTAAAACTTGCTTTCTTCAGGGACCATAGTCCTGCTAAAAAGTTATTTATGCTCATAGTGCCAATAATGTGCCTTTGCTGTTGACACATTGGGGTAATTCAATTTTATTAGTTTTGGTAATAATCTTAGAAATTTTTAAAATCTCTTTTTAGTTAATTGACGTCACATTTCTGAGAAGACTAAGAATTACGTGAAGGAGAGCTCAGAATGCATCGAAACTGTTTATTTGTGAACAGAAGGTATAGTCATGCTTTAATTTTTATTTTCATGGCTTCATCTTGAAGTACTTCCACTTTCTTCTAGTTCACTTATTTTGCTCTCTTCTTTCATCCTAGTGTCCCATTTCATTACACTGTTTAACAGTCTTTATTCAAAGCAAGCATCTTATATGCAAAGTACCAATTTTTAAATTCATGTATGGACTGACCCAAGGAAGAGAGGATTTGCTATCACTCTAATTAATATTTTTGAATTCTGAATTCTTTATTACATATTTGTATAGATCAATGAAGCAAAGAAATGTGCTCAAGAGAAAAAGAGACAAAGTAAGATTCTTTGTGATGAAGCACATAAATTTAAGGTAAAAATACCTTCTTTTCCTGACATTACACTCTAAAAACAGAAGTAAAAGTAATGAGTAAGTATTGCTAACCTCTATATGTTTTGTTGAAGAATAACATCAAATCACTTGAAAGTACTAATGAAATCGTTAATGACATAATTCAAAGTGTACGTGCTAGGTTGCAATCAGAGGGAGATTGGAACGTCAAGAATTAGGACTTGGTGAGAGTTCTGCTACTAAGTTATTACCATAGTTTGACTTTTGAGCATTTTTGATCCTTGGGAGAATTGAGCCCTGCCTTCTTCCATGTTGTTTCAAGTACTAATACTACAATGCCTTTTTTCATTTAAGGACTTTGAAGATTTTTTTTGTATTTACAACCCTGGGTTAATTTCTTATATCATTCAGCATTCCCTCCCCTCCAAGAAACATAGAACTGAGAAATTGTAGGGGAGAGTACCGGAGATTTCTAGTGATGTTGAACAGTCCTATCCCTTAGTGCAGAGCAGAGAATTTTCAAAGTGAATCTAGTGACAGTATTTACCTTCCACTGAGAACAGCTGTTCACCTGAGCCGTTTGGCTTCAAGGTTTTAGACTTTCTTTGCTTTTGCCTCATCCCCCAGTCAACTAGCCCACTGTCTTGAAAGTAGAAAGTTGGAGTGCCCAGGAAATATTTGTGACTTCAACTATTCTCTTAGTTCCTCGTTTCTGTGTTCAACTTCTCAGCTCAAACTGGATCAGCTGCTTTCAATGATACAGGGGCTGATGTGGGGTATGTCTTGTTGGCATTTCTTCTTTTTAGCATACCGTCCAGTGTTCCTATTGAAATCCAGTACGTGCTTTGTTTCTATCCTACAGGCAGATAGCAGAAAAGAAAAATCGATAGAGAACTTAAAAGGTGATATTTCAATGAACACCTCAGGAATTTCAGAAGTAAACTACCTAGATTTGCTGCAAGAATTTCATTGTACAACTTAGCTTTGATGAAGAAAAATATATCATGTCTTAGAATATTAAATTTATATGTATTGACTTAGGTATTTTTCTTCCTGGGAACTAAATCATTAGTGAGAATGTTTTGCTTTAGATTTGAATTCCCTTTAATGAATTTCATGTCAGGGAAGCAAAATTGAAGTCTGAAGAACAGCAGGTACAGAAGGAAAATGCTCAGCTTAAGTTCAAGAAGGGGGCCGGCCCGGTGGCACATGGGTTAAGTGCATACGTTCCACTTCGGAGGCCCAGGGTTCACTGGTTCGCATCCCAGGTGCGGACATGGCACCACTTGGTAAGCCACGCTGTGGTAGGCGTCCCACATATAAAGTGGAGGAAGAAGGGCACAGATGTTAGCTCAGGGCTAATCTTCCTCAAAAATAAAAAATAAAAATTAAAAAAATTAAAAAAAAAAGATCAAGAAGGAGCAGATAACAAAAAGTTCCTCCCATAGACTATATAAATCAGAGAACTAAACCTCATTACATCTTTTATATTTTTTTATTTTTAATTGAGGTAAAGTACACATAATGTAAGACTTACCATCATAACCATTTTTAAGCATACATTTTAGTAGTGTAAAGTACGTTCACATTGTTGTGCAATCATAACATCTTGAATATCTTTTCTCAAATCTGTCTTAAAGGCAGGAGATCTGAGTGCAGGATTCAAGGATTCGAAGCATAAAGCCTCAATACCTAATAAATGTACCCTGGAAGGTATGTTGCTTGTGGGGAAGAAAACCCCATATAGTAAAAATGAGTTTTCACTGGGAAGGTAAAAAATGGCTTCTTGCCCTCAAGATTCTCTCCTTTCTCCTCTCCCCTCCACAACCCAGTTCTTGGGAACACGTGCACACACACAAACAAAATTGTTTTATGCTTTACAGAAAGGAAAAAGAAGCTAGAAGACAACTGTGAGGCATTGAGATCTGTTAAAGTGGCAAAGAAATCAAATTAAAAATGTTAAAGAACAACATAGGCATGATTGATGAAATCTGTGGACAAAGAAAGATGGTCACAGAGGAGTAAGATATTCACGTGTTGTTACAAATACTGTTGTGTTAGTGAATGTGGGGAACAATCTAGATAATTATAATTTTTTAAGAATATTTACCACCATATTTTTACCATATTCATTCTATAGAGAAATGTGTTTCCCCTTTCTGCCTTGACTTTTGTAATCTGTACCTTCCGTTCCCTTCTCACTGGTTATCAGAGATTCTTATTTGTAATTAATTTCAGATTGGACGGAGTATTGGTACCAGCTTTAATCACTTCATTTTCTGGAACCCTCTGGGTGCATTTACGTTGTGCTCTAGGTTTCAATCCCGTCATAGTATCATGACCTGCCATATGTCTGTCATTTCTTATTAAATTCTAGACATTGGGTAGCAAATATTTAGAGAAAAATCGAGGCCTCGTGTTGTGTTATCTTGCTGCAGAAAATCTGGGAGTTTACATCTGGCGGGTGATCAGGGACGCCAGCAGTACTGAATCCTATTCATCCAGTTAGCAACTCAGACCATTCACTGAAGGCTCAATCCCTCCTAAGGCCAGTGTGTTTTCTGTCCACCTTTGTTCTTCGTGTAATCTCCTGGGACCCAGCTAAGGCCTGCAGGTTTTTCTAGGGATGACCTTCATTTAGTGACCGTGAACTCCAGTTGTTTTACTTCTGTGCCCGTGGATGTGTGCAAACACTGCTCAGCTTCTTCGCATCTCAGTAGTCTCCTCTGGAATTACTTGATGAACCCTGGGGAAAGTGGCCCCAAATGCCAGGCTGACCTTAATCCTGGGCTTCCTTCTTCTCCATCTTGGCCTCATGTCTCTTTACTGGCTTGTTAGCAATTTGGTGCCTTCAATCATGAATTTCATATTTTGGCCAGTGTTTCCTGTTCTTTTCATGAGGAGATGAGGGACTTCAGACCCATTCATCCATGTTTAAAAGCAAAACTTTTCTTATACTCCCTCAAGAGTCAGGTTTGTGTTAATCCTCCTGAAGCCTCGGGTAGGGGTTGCTCTGTCCTCAGTGGCATCTTGTTTGCATTAAACTGTGAGATGTTTTAGGGTGGGGCTAGTGCCCTGCTTCTCTCTGTATCCTCAGCACCTTACAGTGCACCCACTATGTTCCAGCTAGTCCAGAAATCATTTGCTGAAAGACTGATGGGTGGTGGCACATGGAAAGAAGTGGGTGGCATTAGTGGAAGGAAGAGGGGGGAGTCACACGGATTGGTGGAGTTACATCTATGGTAGTAAAAGGAAAGAAGGGACTTGAGGATTTTCCTAGCACACTGTTGGTTGAGGGCAACATTTCACTTATTGAGATGGGGAAGAGGGGGATAGGTTTGGGCGTTGGTCTCTTTCTTACTGTGCCAAGATACAGTATAAATGAATCAATCCACCTCATTTGAAAGTTTTAGCCAAACTCTGGGGACCCCAACCTGGTGCAGGTGGTGTGCATAATGATTAAATGCAGTCTCCGGAGGTTGCCTGGGAATATATCTCAAGGCATTTCTAGCTGTGTGATCCTTTTTTTTTTTGAGGAAGGTTAGCCTTGACCTAACATCTGCTGCCAATCCTCCTCTTTTTGCTGAGGAAGAATGGCCCTGAGCTAACATCTGTGCCCATCTTCCTCTATTTTATACGTGGGATGCCTGCCACAGCATGGCTTGACACGTGATATGTATGTTCACACCCAGGATCCAAACCAGCGAACACCAGGCTGCTAAAGCCAAATGTGTGAACTTAACCACTGCGCCACCAGGCCGGCCCCTAGCTGTGTGATCCTGACTGGTTGCTTCACCTCTCTTTGCCTCATTTTCCTCATCTGTAAAATGGGGATAATGAGACCTAGCTCCCAGTGATGTTGTGGGAACTAGATGAATGCCCAGCCTGTTGTAAACACTCATCAAAGGTGGCTATTATGGCTTCCCTTGCAGCCATGTCTGAATTCCAGGCCAAACAGCTCTTCTAAGGCAGCACCAACCAGGAAAAAGTGGGAACTAATGAATAAAGCAGAGCCAAAGACACTTAGGGGCTTTTATTATCCAGCCCCCACCCACCTACCACAATGATATATAATTTTATTGGAGTAGATCCACTTAGAAACTGATGCCAGGACCTGGAAAATGGGCACCTTCCCTCCCAGCTTTGGAGAAGCTACAGTTCTTCCTTGACTCGTGGTTTCTTCTCTTGTCTTGGAGGTCCTTTTGGCTTAGCCACCCTTTCCTCCTTCTGAGCTGTTTCCTTCTGTTCAGCTGGCTCTTCCGGCTTGGTCCCATTCTCCAGCTCAGGCAGCTTCTGCTCAGGTAACTCTTTCTGCATAAAAGGTACCTCTTCTTCCTCAGCTAATACGTCCTCTTCTATCACTTCACTTTGTTCAATAGATCATAGCTATTCAAGAAAAGAAGGGAGGGAGGGAAGGAAGAAGGAAGATAAAGAGGCAAGAAATATGTGATAATCATGATTGTAATTGCCAAGGTCACTTTTTCTAGAAGTGCCCAGAGAGAGGCACCTGAGTGATCCTCTTAGATGCAAAGGTTCATTTGGCTTGGGTGGGGACTTTCTCAGCTGTGATTTTGCCCCTCCAAGAACAGGACCTTTGGGGAACCAGCCTTCCTCCACTCTTAAGTCCACAGATATGGCTGCCCCCATGCCTGGCTCCAGGGCTGGGCATGTGACCCAGGCCTCGATAATTAGATGCCTGTCCAGGACATTTGCTAGGACTACTAAGAAGTAGGTGCTTTCTTTCTAAGCTGGAAGGATATTAGTTTAGATCTGTGGGGCAATCTTTGACGCTTCATGGGGGAGGTGACTACATTGGAATGAAGCCAACATAGAGGAAAACAGAGATGGGGAGACAGAAAACGAGTTTGAGCTTCTGGATCCACCCATACCTGATGTTCCACCAGTTATATAGGATACATTCCCATTGTTGCTTAAGTCCAAGAGTAGTGATTCTGACATTGGTAACTGAAGGGTCCTAACTAATACAGATGGCACCTTCCAGCAGATGGCCTCACTGAGGGATGAACAGGATTAGGAGAGAATGGGGATTGTCATCCCATCCATCAGGAGAATAACGCCACAGGGCAGTATGCCATCAAGAAATCTGGTTACCAACTCAGGAACGGTGGACCCAGGGAAGCAGTCTTGGGAGCTGTGTGAGACCTCAGAGCCTTTGCCCCTCCGAGTGTTTCTAAAGTCTGCTGTTTCTGCTTCTTTGTAGAAAGTGCCTTTGAAATAAAATCATCCAAACTGGATGGTTGCTCAGCCATCTTCGGGTATCTCCAGAGTGCACAAGAATAATGGAATTCTTGGCACACTCTTTCCTAGTCCATTGAGGTCTTGATGATTCTGTTTGGGAAAGAATAACCCAGGGTGCTGCTTTTTCACCTTACCTCATCTTCATCTTCAAGCCTGGTCTTGATTTGACTTTCCAGAAAGTCTGAAAAGCCCTTCATGGTGTGTTCTCCCTTATACGGTACAACCTAGGAAGGAAACAGAACAGGGTCAAAATGGTAGCCTCTTCCTGCAAGGATTGCTCCATAGGTAAATCCAGAGTCCCATTCCATTCCTAACCACCTGAGTACGGTGGGCAGGTTGCTTAACCTCTCTGAGCCTCCATTACCATGGCTCCAAGAGAAGGATAATAAAAATTCCTCCATCCACAATGATTGGGTCAGGGACTAGCAACTGACCTAAGTTGGACCCCATCTGAGTCTTGAGACTTTTGTGGAAGCTAAAGGAAAACACTCTTTAACATGAACATGAGAGGGTCATTGGAGCTGAGAACGAATCTGATTTAATAGAAGGCAGAGCTGCAGATAGGAAGAAACCGAGTCTGCGCTAATGACACAACAACATTTCCAGTTATGTGAGCCCCAAGAGCCCCTCACTTGTTGAGAGCTGGTGGGGAAGAGCCTGAAGAAGGGGTACCGGTCCAGGTTCATTAGCTGAATATCATTTGCCGTGATGTCGATCTTGGTGATGGTGACTGTGGAGTGGTTTTGATACTTTCTGCCCAACTCCTCCAACACTGGGAACAGCGCCCTGCACTTTTCAGACCAGGGTGCATCTGGAAGAGAGGGGCCATTGTTCAGGCTCACACTAATGAGGACTCTGAAAGCCAACACTGCCCATAAACACCATCACTGTGTTCTACTAACGGTTCTGCTGCTTTGCAAATGGCACTCCTTGTGTCTTTTAATTATATATTAGGTTATTTTACATTTCAAACATAGTACCTGATATTATTAAATAAATCAGAAAAATATTAACCTACTCTCCTTTCACCAAGATACTAACTCTTTTAGCATGTTGGGACATTTTCTTCTATTCCTTATTTTTCCTTTAACATAGCTTTCCACTCCAGATGAAGAAGAAAACCAAGAAAAATATTTATGCTGGGTGCTTCCTCATGTTCTGCCAGAAAGCATGTGTGTGTGTGTGTGCGACAGCATAAGTTTTCCAATGGAGGTTAAACTTGTAGCCCAAGGTCACCCAGTGAGTTAAGCAGAGGAAGGGAGATCTGAAGACAGGTTGCTTTGACTTTTGACCATTATACCATACTGCCTTTCAGTCTGGTGGAGAGAATCCGGCTGTAAAGTGACGAGGAGGTTGTGACAAGTACCACTACCCCTGGAAAGGAGACACTGGACTTCCTTGTGGGATAGTTCCCTGAGCTTTGATTTTGGCCCAGGCACCCAGCCCTCTGGAGAGAAATCAGGGACCAGCTCCAACACGGAAGGGAAATTAAAACTTGCCTGCTGGTCGTTCCGTTAGTTTCTGGCTGTGCAGGAGGAGTGGCGTCAGAGGCCCTGGACACTCCACATTTGGATGATCACCCCTCCTTTTACAAACCAAGTGCCTCCAGGGCCACCTGCTCTCCCAGCAGCGGCTCCGCAGCTCCCCTGGAGCCAAATGGGCGCTGAGTTGGAGCAGGAGGAAACATAATGGCCGCAGTCCCAGGGGGCCAATGTGACATCCTGCTTCCAAGAAAATGAGGCTGCTTTTGCCTTTCCCCAGAACCAAGTGGGCACTCGCATAACTCCAGGTGTCAGGTAAGTACAGAAAGGGCCACCGCAGCCTCTCATTTAAAAGCAGCAGATCATGGTTGTTTAGCCACGCAGACCTTAAACACCGCACCCTGTGGATGAGAGTCCATTTCAGTGAGATTTAAAAGGCCTGCGTGATGCAATCCAGCCCTCCTTTCACCCCCCAGGAAGTGATGGGATCAGAGCTCGAATTGAACTTTTTGCCTTGCAGCTTACTTACAGTGTGGCCTGGGCTAAGGCAGTTAACCTCTGTAAGGCTGGGTTCCCTGATCTGTATCGTGGGGCAATTCGCTGGCCCTTCCTAAGAGTCTTGTTTTGAGGAGGCAACGAGAGCAGGTGTGTAAACCACAAACTCAGGTCTGGCTCATGGTACGGGCTCAATAAATGGTAACTGTGTGTTAAATAAAAGAGACGTCTGAAGCAGCTTCATTGTCACCCTTCTCTGCGTCTCAGGGTGGGAGACAGGGTCCCTAGCTTTGGCTCTCACATGCAAATCAGAAACTGGGGAAGGGGCCAGAGTCCTTAGGTGAGCACTGGAAATAATTATAACAATAGGAATAAGAATAGCAATGATAGCTGTCATTTATCAAGTGCTTACAACATGCCAGACACTGTGCCAAGTCCTTTACTTGCATGATTCGGGTCCCCAGTTTGGCCACACCAGCTCAGGTAGGTTAAATACAGCACATTTGATAAGTCACATAAAGCCAGAAGCGGGGGGATTCAGTCCAGCTGTTACCAGCATACGCACTGGAGTCAGCCTGCTTAGGTTTCAATGCCAGTTCCAGCACTTACTAGCTGCGTGACTTTGGAAAAGTTTCTTCACCTCCCTGGGACTCTGTTTAGTCGTCTGTAAAGTGGGAGCAACAATAGTAGCTACTTTCAAAAGTATGTTGTGAGGATTAAATGAGATGATGTATAGAATGGCTCAGCACAAAGCCTGGTGTACCATGGCATTCAGTCAGTGTTAGCCATCAGCTTTATTATTGTTATAGTCACAGGCCTGGATTAAGTGGAAGGTATTTTACCCATTCCAAGAATTCGATTTTTGAGGAGGGTTGCACTGTAGCTGATTAGCATCTTGGTCCAAACTCTTTGGGTATCTGAAGACCATTTGTGGCATGGTGCTTTGATAGATTTTGGAGATTTTGGTGCCCAAGAATTCAGGAACCACGCTTGTAATGTCAGGTCCGTTGCCTCCCGTGGCCTCTGTGGAAGTACTTACAGAACATCACAAATACGTCCCTCTCCTTGTCAAAGACGACGACATGGAAATTCTTCCCAAGAAGCTGCTTAACCTCCCTCTGGTCCCAGTATTTTGGAATCTCTTCACTGGATTGATGGTTCTAGGAAGGAAATTTGAGAGGTCTGAGAGTCTCTGGAAAGGGGTTGGCAGTTGGGGCTCCCAGTCCTGACTGGAAACAATGGAAAGTTTTCTCTTGTTCTTACAAGAGACTTGGAAAGAGCTTGAAATGCTGAGATGGATCATGACTTGATGTCAAGCCTGGATTGTCCGGGGCCAGTTGGGATCAGACGACTGAGGAGGAGGCAGGGCTCCAACGTGGGACAGGTTCTAGCATTTCAAAGACACGATTCTTGGAATTCTTAGATGAGAGTGGGGTTCATGTCTTCAATGTCTTACTTAGTTTGTTCTGCCCACAAAAAATTAGCTCTGATCATCAAAACAAAGGTAATTTACATGACCTTTAAGATCTTTATCACATTTTGGTTCCTGCCAACCTCTCTAAACTCGTCACCATCCCTTGCGTTCTTTAGCTATACTGGTCTTCTGTAACCCAAAGGGGTACAGAAGGCTTGTGCTGTTCCTCTGCCTGGAGGGCCTCCCCACCTCATTCCTGCATTCCCTTCTCCATCTGGTTAACTCAGATTTACCGTTTAGAATGACCTCAAGGTAGGGCTTCCCTGACTCTCATCCAGACGAGGTCAGATCCTGCTCCCATACGTTCTCACAACACTTGGTACTTGTCCTTGTATCTCTTATTCAAGTGTATCATTTATATTTATTTTTCTGGTTATTTGATTAATGTGTCTTTACCACACTAGAAAGAATGTCACATGAGACTTTTCTTCCCTTATCATTGAGTATCCACTGCCTGGTACACACCAGGACCTTGATAAATATTTTGTGAATGAATGAATGAAAGAATGAACCAAGCTCTTGCTTCTCTTTGAATGAAGTGGTATAAATTTCAGAACCTATATTTTTCTCTGCAACCATTGCTTCCTGACTATCTCTTGAATCCACACCCCCTCTCTGTCTGCACTGCTACTACCCTAGTCCAGGAAGCCTCTCTCATCTAGATCACTGGAATAGCCTCCTAGTGTTCTCTCTGCATCGCCTCCTAATCCTCTACATGCCTTTATTCTCCTACAGGCAGAGGTCTGCCTTCACCGTGCAAATGTAGTTTCCCATTGCTTTTAGGATACCAAATCCTTAATACACATAGAAGTCGTTGCTGTCAGGTCTGCTTAGATCACCAGCCTTATCTCCCACATTGCCTTCCCTCATTCCCACCCCAGCCTCTGGAAAGGACTTGAAGATTCTTTCCAAGGGAGCATAAAGGGGAATGGGGGCTGGGCATGGGAGATGGGAACTGGTGAACATGATGGAGAATTAGGAATGGGCCACATCAGGCAGATCTCATCACTCATGTGAAGGATGCTCATCTTTATTGTAAGAGCACAAGAGCACCTGTTGGTTGTGGAGAGGGAGACAGACACGTTCTGAGGTATAACTGGAGGGAAGAGAGAGGATGGGTAGAGCTCCAGGTACATTTGTAGATGGGGGATGGAAAGTGAAGGGTCCCCTGTGTGAAGCCTTCTATTTTATTAGTGACACACGAGTCAAGTGCTCAGGTGAGACTGAAAGTAGGAATGGGGTATGAAGAGAAATAGATTCAGAGATTAAGAGAATGAACCACTAAGAGAAACTTACAAAGAGATGTTAGGACATTTCTAAGTGCCCATGGGAGGTTTGGTTTGTGATTCCATGAAGCCAGCCTGCCTCACGGTGATGTTCTTTTTCTCCAGGATAGGCCTGGAAGCAGTAGGGACAAGAGATTTTCACACATTGAAGTGTATAGGGTAAATATTTGGGTTCAAAACTGATTCGGCTTGAAGTAAAGAAGCCTGACTTGTGGCCTATCAAATATACATTGTACATCTGCTTTAACCATTAAAAAATGCACTCTCTTAGGAAAAGAATGCACACTTCCCCTCCTACACCCAATTGGTAACATCCTATTGGTAACACCCTATTGGTAACTCCCTGATTAGTCCCTTTCCCAACTGATTTCATGTTGACTTGCTAATTTGCAACTAAATACCTCTTTGCATTTGATCAAAATGTATCTTGGGTGTGTCTTCTGTTCTAAAAAGATATAAAACTATACTGAAAACCATGCTTCTCCAGAACACTTTCTAAGGCCTTCCTGGGTTATAATCCTCACTCTGGCTCAGGTAAAACTCACCTTATTTATCTTATCTATAGATTGGTTATTGGTTATTTGCGTCGACAGTACGGAAAGTAAGTAGGTTCAACCAAGGTTGTGACTTTGCCTGGTAAATTCTACAGGATGTAGAGGAGGTAGGAGGAGGAGGGGATACGGGAGCTAAGGGGGTCATGACCAGAGAGATGAGCCATGGAATCCAAGTTCACAAAGGAGGGCACTAAAAAGATTGCGAAATGGGATCAGGAGGTTGGGGGCCACGAAAAGGATAAGGAATTGTAGCCATGTGACAACTAGAGAAGGGATCTAAGAGTATGGGAAGCTTGAAACCAGGCTTTCAGAGGGGCTGCCATCTCTAGAGTGTGGCCATAAGAGCGAGTGGCTGAGATGGCATGGACATACCAATTGTAGGAGAAAAGACCAGGGTTTTGGATATTGACATTACTGGAAATGATGGCAGAGTATGGAAGAAGGGCAAGTGAGGAGCTGAAGTCCTCAGAGGGTGAGAGGGAAGTGATCAGAGGACAGCAACAGGGAGTGGGATCAGGTAATCTAAGGTCCAAAGGCATGGGCTCCCCAGGGTCTGGAGTTGTTGAAGGTAGGAGGAGGAAAGATGGTTTGGAAGTGGCGTGGAGGACACCAACCTCACCACTTCGCCTGTGACAATGTGCATCAGAAAAACAATAGCTTTCACTTTGGAAGGCTGCAGGGGAGGCAGTGTCTGTCGGGGAGCAGACAGAAGGTAATGAGTGTCCTCAGAGGTAAGGTGACCATGTATTCTGGTTTGTCTGGAGAGTCCTAATTTATTCCTGGTGTTCCAGAAATACTTTTAAAGAATGCCCCATTACTCTCAAAAGTGGCCCCATTTAGAAAATAAAAAATCTGGTCACCTAACTCTGCAGGGTGGTTGGGGATACAGCAAGTACTCAATAAATGGCAGGTGATGTTGTGTTATGTAGCCATCATTTTGCAGCCTCTCCTCCCTTTTAGCAAAATAGGCTCCCTTCTAACCCCTCAAAAATATTAGCTGTGGTCACTAGTCTGAACTGGAGAGAACAGACATCTAAGGGACAAGAAACCTGGTTTTGAATTCCACCTCAGTCATTTCTTGTTGGTGTGTCCTTAGGGGAACTATAAAATCTCTCTTATCTCACTTTTCTCACCTGTGAAAAGGACTGTTTCATATCAAGGACCCCACCATCTCTAGTATTCCTGAATCCAAATATATGGATGATGAAGACAATTCCCTGAGGCTTCCCATTATATGGTTCAGCTTGCCAGGGCATTGGTCTAGGAGTCAGATGGTCTTGGGTTTAATAAAAATAATAACAATAGGGATACTGATATGGAGAAAGTATCTTCGTAGCGGATGTGGGAATCTTTCATAAGGCAAGACTGACTTTCTTGAGGAAGGAATTCATAAAAACCACAGTGGGGTAGAGCAGGGAATGGCAAACTAAAGCCTCTGGGAAAAATCCATCCCTCCTCCTATTTTTGTAAATAAAGTTTTATTGAAACACAGCCGCACCTATTCATTTACAGTTGTCTCTAGCTGCTTTCACACTACCAGGGTAGAGTATACAACAAGGACAGTATAACCTAAAATATTTACTTTTTGGCACGTAGAGGGTAGAAGGAAGCCACAAGGGAGATCCAGGTTTAATGCTAGGAAGAAGGCTTTACTCTGCACATCATGAAGACGGGAGCAGAAGGGTATGGTCCCTGGAAGGAGGGAGGAGGTGGAAAGAACCTGCTGCCCAGGGCGTTCTAGAGGAGAGACTTGTAAAAAGAGACGCATCTATTGAGTAAGACACTGTGACACTGTGTGATAGGACCCCCTCCACTGGATCCTCCTAAATATTCAGTTACAGCTCAAAATTCATATGCTTGGTGTGATGGGATTTCTAGTCTTTTTTTCAAATACTTATTCAATGCTTATTATGCGCCAGTCACTCTTCTAAGTGCCTTATGCCTTACAAATATCAACTCTTCTTCTTAACAGCCTGTGAAGGAGTAACATCATTATCCCCATTTTACAGATAAGGAAACTGAGGTACAGAGAGATTCTTGAGTAAGCAAGTGACGAGATGGATTTTGAATGCAACAGTCTGATTCCAGAGGCTGTGCTATACTGCCTCTCTATCAGTTTGACGCGGAAAATCGGTGTGAAGGACTCTTTAATGTGCTAAGATCCCCCCTCAGGAATAAAAGGCTTACTCCCCCACTGCCAGACCTCTTTGGGGAGTGCACAGCTAAGGAGAGCTGTCTCTCCTAGCACCACACCCCCTTCCCAGGGCAAGCTGCATCCATGCCTGACCCACCTGGGGCTATAAAGGCCCACCCCTTACCCCATCCACCTGCTCAGGAAACTCTGAAAGGTTGTCCGAGCTTCAGAACTCCCCATGGGGTCAGCTGAGGCCTCATAGTGCAACTACATCATAGTACAACTTGACCTTCTGACCAATCCCACTCCCTTCCCTTCCATCTCCTTCCCCAGGTGTTGACGCCAAAGCACTCCCTAACAAACCTCTTGCAGGTTAATCTCCTTCCCAGAGTCTGCTTCTCAGAAAACCCGCCTATGACAATTAGCCTGTGCTGACAACGTGTCAGTGAGCATCCAGGTTACATAGGATCTGGGGGGCTTTAGGCTTAACGTGGTTGCTCTCACCTTCTACCCCAGACTCAAAAAAGGAAAACGTTTTTCTTTCCCTGGGGGAAACTCCTATCTTATACCCAGCTCCAAAAACTGGGTCCCCCTTCCATGTCAACCCCCAAGCCTTAGTTCACTGCTCCAGTATTAAAACAGCTGAAAACAAGTTTAGTGGATTCTATGCTTTTTGCCTTTTCTGGTAGGAACATTTCCACTTTCCTGTAGG